TCTATTCTTCTTGGAATCATATATACAAATGTTTTAAAGAGATTTCGCACATCAAGTTCCTCCAGTAAATCGTCGTTCTCTTAGAGCGAGACCTTTAACTTCGAGCATGTAACGTGTATCCTTACCCCTCCAATTTCTCCGTGGATTTAGAACGATTGGGGGCGGTTCCCCTCCTTGGCTACGCCACTGAATAGAACCATATATCCTCTCTTATTTGCATCTGTATATAATTTTTTTCAAAATCTCTTTTGTTACTTATATATTATACATTCGTATGCAACTATACAACATATATAGTTGTGTCTGACTCTTTGAAAGTTGCATGATTGATCCCATGCTCATTGACAGTTTTCGTTCTTAATTGACTATGAGAAGAAATGATAATAAAACCGTATAATATCGTGTCCGTAATAACTATAACAGTATAAGCAATTGCAAAATATGATCATAACATATGGGGAATGTTTCCGAAATTGTAAAGAAAGCATCTAAGCCACTTTATTTTTTAACTCACTTAAGACACTCTAAAGTAGGTAGTAAAGAACTAGTCCAATTTTTTAAATCATGTATTCGATCCTTGATGCATGCATGGAGTATGCATGCGTATCCAGCATTTCATGACAATCTACCTGGTTTCTCAAATGATCTTCAGGGAATTGAAAAACTTGGTATGCGTATAGTTAATACTTTATTATCCGTCAGCATCGTACAAAGAGGCATTAGCGACTGCAACTTACTGATAAACTTTTCCAACAAATTTTGAATGAGACTCATAAATTTCATAAATTACTACCAGCTGTAAACAGCTCCTCGGTAAATTTAAGGAATAGGGCGTGAATTTACCTACAGTTAGGATAGACCGTTTTAAGAGTTTATTATTAGAAATTCTAAAAGCATATCAGTAATTAGAACTGATGTATACGTTTTAAGTTTTATATTTCAGCTGGCAATATCTGAAAAGGTTATTGTGAATACACTATCTATCTAAGAAATAAGATATATCTACTATATAAAGAAATACTGTACCATGTAATTCACAATCATAATATACAGTAAGTGATTCTGTTAGCGTTACATTTTGAATAACATAAGAAACTTTAATAACAAATATGTCACCTACTGCACTTTCTTATCAACTACCTTGTCACTTTGCGATAAACCAAAAGCCAAACTTGGCCATGCTGAAAAAATCAGGATTTTCAACAGAATTTTTGCAGACATCATTTTGTAAATTACGTCCGCAAGCAAGTTCTGTCTTCTTCCTTCAGCTCTTTGAGACGTAATGAATGCATGTACCTACTGTGTTCAGTTTTAGTGTCCACGCCGCCTCTTGACAACAGGTTAAATTAAGACATATCTGACAAAAGGTCCCAGCGATCTTCATTGTATACCAGCGTCTTGCATTTACAATGCAGATGTACAGCGTATTTATGATCTAATTGTGTGTTATTGATCAGTTCCTTGCAAGAAGGGAATTTTTACAGGATTTACTCTCTTTTTGCTCAAAAACAATTGGAGTGCATGCATTCTCTTGTCCAATTAGAATTGAGTATTTTTTTATCAAATGCTCTATACCACCATTTATCGATTTACTGATATTAGTTCTGAATCATATATATACCGTATTTACAAAATATGAACTAATTTTTTATTCTTTAATCGACTTTGCACATCGAATTTATAAATTTTGTAATTACTAAATTGGAATATCGTCAAAAGAGTGGACATTGTCTATCAAGATATGATGTCTGGAAACCGAGCTTGAAGGCATTGTGTCGTGTTGTTGTCTGAGTTTATGTTAATTTCTGCACAGTCATGGTGATTGAGCTCATTGTATTTTCGTATAATTAAGTGAACGTCCAATGGGGATGGCACGTGCAACCACGATGAAAATATTTAATGAAGTTGAGACAAAGTCAAAGGATTTGTGCACGGAGAGCTACAGTTCAACATCGAACAAAGCCCTTCTATTTTGTGGCTTTGAAGTTTACCGGACTTCCAGATCATCATATATTGACAGACCATGGAGTGGAATATGAAATAGCACGCCTTGTTTGTTAATCCTTCAAAATCAGATTCATGAACAGTGGAATTATAAATTGCGACTTTATCCACACAACCGACATGGCCAAGTTCTGCATGAAAGTTGGTATTTCAATAAGATCATACGGGACAACGTTATACGATCGATTATTGAAGATTCACTTCAGCAATTCGAAAAAAATCCTTCGATGCAAATTCGCTTTCGAAAGATAACCGTTTTTCAACATACAAGCCTCAAGGTCATATTAATATTGTAACGTGGTGTACACGTGAATTTCCAGAGAACTTGATCAATCGAGGTACACACGTAAAAACACACGAGTTGTAACTCAAACTGCAGCAGACTTGTAGCGATGCTGTTCCAACAATTTGTCAACAGAATATGTTCGCACTGCTTGTTCCCAGCTTGTTGGCAAGTTGTTAACACAGATTTTGGCATATTCACGCACGCGTGCGAAGCGCTTGAGCATATAGGCTATAGACTAGTTCAATAATATATTATCGACACACAATAATATATTCATAGTTAATCATTATTTCATTACAGAAGCTGAAAATTTTTTACCCGAAACGCTTTGTGTACGAGCTTGAAGATGGCTTAGTCTGTAACAATACATAATATTCATCAGTCACATCAGGTCCGAAGCGTAAAAATGGCGTACAGACATGCCTAAATTTTGGGCAAATCAATCGAAAATACAAGTTGGATTTCCAGTCCTCGCACGAAGCTCCTCGCAGCTCGCTGCGTGTGCATGCATGCTGAGCACTTTCATCCAATCACAATGCTAAACAGTTAATTTTAATTAGATGCTAGCACTCGTAGCGAGCTGCGAGGAGCTTCGTGCGAGGACTGGAAAACCGCCTTAAAGGCCCATACAGACCAGACGCTATTTGGCAACGCGACGCCAATTTTCAGTTTTCAATGACATTTAACTTTAATATTTTTCATTGTTTTTCAAATATTCGGGACCACTTAGCAATTTTAGCTATTTGGTCTCCATACCTTGTAAAATTTTTATCCGTTGACGGTTTTATTTGTTTTTGAAAACTGAAAATTCGCGTCGCGTTGCCGACTCGCGTCCGGTCTGTGTGAGCCTTTACACGTTTGAGAATTTAACTTTGCAAAACTAAAGCTTTTTTGTCTTTTTTGAAACGTATTATTGGAGTATTGGCAAGTTTTACCATTCAGAGATTTACAAACTAATATTGAAACTATAAAAGACAGTCACATATGTATACGCGCATTCACTGACGAGTAATGACAACTTATAAGCCATACATTTTCCGATAACGACAAAACGCTTGTGTAGCCTTTAGTCGCTCTCAGTGACTAATAAATTTTTTTAGGGGGTGGGGCAAAAAACAATTTTGGGGGGCATTCCCCCCCCTTACCCCCCCCCCCCATGCAGCGATCTTCATTAAAAACCTGCAGCAGCGTCTTGCATTTGCAATGCAGATGTACAGCGTGTATGATCCAATTGGGTGTTATTGATCGGTTTCCTTGCACAGGTCAGCATAACAATAAGATAAGGTAATTTCTACAGGATTTACTCTCTTTTTGCTAAAAAACAAATAAAGTGCATGCACGCTCTTGTCCAATCAGAATTGAGTATTTTTATATCAAATGCTCTACCACCATTTATCGATTTACTGCATGAGATTAGTTCTGAATCATATTTACAAAATATGAAAATGTTTTATTCTTTAATCGACTTTTACGAGTTAGATATCGAATTTATCAATTTTGTAATTACTAAATTGGAAAATGGTCAAAAGAGTGGACATAGTTTATCAAGATATGATGGTTTGGAAACCGAGCTGAAGGCATTGTGCTGTGTTGTTGTCTGAGTTTATGTTAATTTCTGCACGGTCATGGTGATTGAGCTCATTGTATTTTCCTGTAATTAAGTAAACGCCCAATAGGGATGACACGTGCAACCACGATGAAAATATTCAATGAAGTTGAGACAAAGTCAAAATATTTGTGTACGGTGAGATACAGTTCAACATCAAACAAAGACCTTCTATTCTGTGGCTTTGAAGTTTACCGGGCTTCCAGATCATCATATCTTGACAGACCATGGAGTGGAATATGAAATAGCACTAGAATACATATGAAATATGTAGTTTGATGTTTCATGAATTTCACATGAATTAATCCTTCAAAACACAGTTATTATAGTAGAACTGTGTTCAAAATCAGCTCCGTGAACGGTGGATTTATATATTGCGACATTATCCACACAACCTACATGGTTTAAATTCTGAAAGTTGGTATTTCAATAAATCATCCGTGACAACGTTATATGATCGATTATTGAAGATTTACTTTGGCAATTAGAAAAAATCATGAAAATCCGCTTTCGAAATAAAGCTTGCTGACAAATTAACGGCTTCTTGACAACTTTCTACAATTGCAAGGCTGTTGAGCTCAACAGACTTGTTACAAGTTGTTCCAATAACTTGTTATCGTCCTGCAATTCAACAATTTGTCAACAAGTTGTGAGTGACAACCTTGTAGCAACTTGATAAAATAACAACATTGTTGCAACTTGTTGACAAGCTTGCTACAAGCCGTGAGATTTTTACGTGCATGTGTAGTGTACACGTGCATTTTAGTTGCAGGGGAGAGATGGGTTTAATAGCTAAAATGTCTTACCAATAATAACTCATTTGCCAGAAATGAGTTATTGGCTGAGGAAGTTTAGGGTTAAGCCTTTGTGGAGTATAAGAATAGTTTAAACTTTATAATTTAATACCGTATTATACTACAAGCAATGTTGAATTAATAATATACAATTATTGGACCAGGTTGAGCAAAATATCGTGATTTGTCAGTGACGAGCAGATCAATTATTTGCCGATGCCGAAGGCAGAGGCAATTAATTGATCTGCGAGCCACCGACAAATCACGATATTTTTTGGTAACTGAGTTCAATAATTGTTTTATCATTTACTTATTCATTTTCGAAATTTTGCCAAGTCACGAAGTTCAACAAACCTGTACAATAACAATATCTGAAAATTTAGTTGTTGTAGATTATAATTTCATATATATGCATGGTAAAAATCACAACGCTATTGATAAAAACAAAGCGTTTAAAACACACTGGTATACAGATCGCTATTAATTTTCCTTGTTTATCGTAAAACTTCTGCAGTACCTACTGCCGAAAGATCAACTTTTGGGGCCACTTAACGTGCCTTCGAATAATCATACAATCGTTTTTCATTTAAATACGCTCTAAATATATTTCAAAAACTCAATAATTCAGGAGCAAAACACAAAGAAAAATCATAAGCGTGTCGTGGTTTTATATGTGATAAAAAATCACGTTAATTTACATAAACTTTAGCTTTGATTTTCTCGGTTTAGACAAAGTTTATTTTAAAAATTACTTCGCCAATGAACTCGTATAAGATGAGTCGTTTTTGAAGCTATTTAAAGCACTTGTAGTCGTGTTTTATCACATATAAAACACTCCGCTACGCGTCGTGTTTTATATGTGATAAAACACGACTACAAGTGCTTTAAATAGTACTTAAAATACTCATTAATAATTCATAAACCTTGTGGCAAATCATGTCAGCCATAATATGTCACGTGGAGTGACTTTATATCTGATAAAGGAACGACTCAAAACAATTTTCTGATTATCCATTTTTACTCTTCAAGTTATATTCTAGTGCAAAATTTTTTATTCTTTCTACTTGAACATACAACAGACTTCTTATTTTTAACTTTATATATACTTTAGTTTGATATGATATAAGAAACTGCATATTGATTATTAAGTATATAGTACTAACTTTGAATATGTAGCGCGAAGTGAATAGTCCGCAAACCATCCACAGTGCACATATTGTTAGTTTTTGCTTGACACTCAATATTACTTATCGTATGTTTTGCTAAGTGATAAAGTTTCAGTACATGTATTATTCCTCATTCCTTCCTTCTATCCTAACCCCAACATCGCAATTTTCCCAGTGTGTAGTATCCTTTCTCATAGCTAGGGGCACCTGTGTCTCCAAATCTCAATTCAGTGACAGGCAGTGTGTTCTTGTCAGTCAGATATCCACTGTCTTCACGCCATGCCTTGTCATTCTTGTCACAATTACATTTTCCTCCACCTGCACAGCTGTTGGTCATTCCACATGCACATTTTCCACTGTTGACTGCCGCACCACCCCAGTACTTCATCTGTGAACCTTGACGTGATACCCACCAACCTAAATATGAACCTACAGAACTGAACCTGAATACGCTACCATAACATTCATATTTTATAAACTGCTCACAATTCTTGGACTGCTTCATAATGGCAAGGATCTGCTCCATGGAAACATGATATTTAATCTTTCGTTTGTAAGAACCTGGAGATTCATATCCTTTCACAAATGTTCTTGATTCACTGTCATGACCAATCACCGTCACACCAACACCATTCTTTGACGTCATATCACAATACACTTGGGGATTTAAATGATACAGTCCACTGGGTGTTGAAGGATGTTTTATTAACAAAGCTGAACAAGTCGTTGGTAGATGTAACCTGTCAATAAGCTTCACAATATCTGTAAAACATATAAATTTTTCGTTTGTTTTGAAAGCTGTTAAACTTAAAAATAATTCGTGAGACGCGCACGCCTAAAGTCCCTGTCACACGGTGCAAGTTTTCATGCAACTTGTCTCGCAATGTTTAAAAAAAGATTTTCATAATGCATTGCAAGAGGTGTTACACGCTGCAATGATTTTCATGCAACTCGCAACGATAGGGGACAGAGGCATGCGAAGAAACTAGGGAAAGGCGCTATTTGGCGCCAAATTTTAATTAAAGTAAAGCGTGTACTGGGGAGAGCCAATAGGAACTCTCCAAGCTATAAACATTGTGATACAAGTTGCACGAAGCCATGTTTCACGCTGCAACGCTGAAAATAATTACTGCAATCGTTGCCAAAAGTAGAACCGACTTCTACTCTGTGCAATGCTTCATGCAACTTGTCTCGCAAAGAATTTGACCATTGCAAGACATGTTAAACGGTGCAATGACTCGTGCAACTTGTCTCGTAACGCCATTGCGAGACAAGTTGCATGAAAAATTGCACCGTGTGACAGGGCCTTATTACTATTCTGAGTACATAAGGCTAGATGTGGATATCAATAGACACTTCCCGAATTTCCCTGAGTGCACACAGCTTGAACGCCGGAAGGAACCCAGAGCAGCGGGGGCAGAATCTCGAAAAAGGGCACTCAGTTCACATATACTTGTCAAACAAGCTTAACAATTATTTTGAATCAGTATCACAAGCCGTCTGGCTATATTCATTAAATAATATGTGTTGCTAGAAGAAATGTGCAGACGTTTGTAAAGAAGAAACGTTTGTCATTAATAACATTTTTTAATAATACAGTAATAACAAAATAAAATAGAAAATGGCTTGCCTCATTTGAGTGCTTGTCTAATATAATAACTGTCATTTATGTTGTTATTGTATAAACTTGTACAGATTTATTGATATGATGATATCTTCCGACGTGACTGCGCCGTTGTTCGTTTACTATTATAAAGGCTTTTACTATGCATGCTCTTGGTACAAACTTTATCAATGCACTCCTTATGGATAGCAACAAACATTTTACTGTTGATAGGCGCCTCCCAGTGGTTCCGGCGCCCCTGTCTTGAAATCGAGGCGGCAATGTAATCCATTGTAAATAAGCAGTTTTCATTGCCAAGTGTCTTTGTGAAGTTAATTTACTACATATGTATACAAGCAAAAAGGCAAGAATAATTTGCGAGCCGCAGACATATAGCAAGAAACATAAAATTGTTTTCTATACATGCACATTCAGTAAAATCGCGGATTTGAAACTAAGACAACAAGTTCACATTAGGCTATTATTATTCACTGTTTAATGCTCGCATTTATCAATTGCATGCTTATTATTATCATCTACATTTACTAGCCAGGAATTTGGTTGTTACGTTTGGGTGTTAGAGTTTGGCGAGAGTCTAGTAAACTTTTCCAGAGTCAGATAGTGTCCTCTGGTTTAGCTGCATTAGTATGCATGTTGGCACACAAAGCAGGCGTATAGAAGCAAAATGTAATACTTTAAATCACTTTATTCCCTTTAATTTAATAAGCTCATTAATAACGAACTTTTCCCCCTACGATTATAAAATTGAAAAACGTTGCCGTTAGTAACTCATTTAATTTTTATTTAACTTTAATAAATTATGCCTCTCTGGGCATCTCAATAAAATTAAGCCTACATAAAATATATACGGTATGTAAATAAAAACTCTTCCGTTTAAAAACCATTCCCAAAAACCATTGTTAGTGTCTCTTTCTATGTTGTCCAGTTTATGTTGTTCTAGTTTAGCCTTAAAGTCATTGATGGAATTTGCTCACCTTCACCTTGACGTAAGATGGTATAACATATTCGAGTATTTGATCACTCTACCACAGAATAAGGTACACAGAAGGCCGACTTCTTGGTTTTTCCTATGATTTTCCTTGATTTTGCCGCAACCCGTAATTCGTCATCAAATGCTGACGCCATGGTCGCAGCCAGTGCGCGTTTGAGAGGCATTCACCCCCTGATATTATTCAAAATGGCGGACGTCCAGGGGGGAATGCCTCTCAAACGCGCACTGGCTAGGACCATGGCATCAGCATTTTGATGATGAATCATGGCGTGGCAGCGGTTACTCGAGTCGACCTTCTGTGTGCCTTATTCTGTGACTTAAAAATGTCATTTCCTTTAGTAGTGGCTCGATAAGGAATATGGAGTAAGTTCCTTCCCGATCTTGACTTTACAGAACATATTCAGACCGTAATTTACGAAGCCATTTAAAATCTTAAATGTTTTATTAGACCACCTAGGCCTAGTACGACGCTCCAGTAACGTTGTTAAACCCAGCCTAGAAAGCCTCTCTTCGTAAGTTAACTGACCAAATCCTTCGATACGCTTAGTAAATTTCCTCTGACAGCTTTGGAGACTCATAACATACGCCCAAGTTCCTATTCTTGGGGTGGGTGCCTATACCTGTACACAATATTCAAGGTGAGGTCTCACCAAAGACTTGAATAACAGAAGAAGTACATCCTTTGATCGCGAGATGTCATTGCGAAAATCCATGACCAATTTCTTAACCGAAAATGTAAAAGTTTTTTATAACCTAAACCATTTTTATATTATTTTTTATTTTGTTACCTTGATTTTCTTTTTCCAGCTTTTGTGTCATATTTTCTTGGCTTTGAATTTTCTTTTCCAGAATGATGGCTTTGTTTTCTTGATCTTGAATTTTCTTTTCTTGACTTTGAATTTTGCTTTCTTGATTTTCTATTTTCTTTTCTTGAATGATTGTTTTGTTTTTTTGAGCTTGACTTTTCTTTTCTTGACTGTGAATTTTCTTTTCTTGCTTTTGAATTTTGGTTTCTTGACTTTGAATTTGTTTCTTTAATTGCTGAAGCTTAAATGAGATGTAATCTTGTATTTAATACGTGCTTATACTAAATATCGAATGCGCACTTGATTATGAATCACGTTTCCATTTTTCATTCATTCTCCAGTAAATCGGCCATATTTGAATTCGACGAGGAGTAATTGTGTATTTGTATTGCATCACAGATTATAAATTCTACCAGATGTCTCACTAAGCAAAATTTGTGTCCGAGATTTTTTATACGCATGCGTTGGCCGCCATTTTGACAGTAAGTGTAATCCACGCCATGAAACGTGATCATGACGTGAGCAATGACCGAGAAATTTACTGGATGTAAATGAAAGAATAGCATTTTGTTTTATTTTGTTGTTTTTGAGTGAAAAAACTTGAGTAACAAATTTAGAATTCAGTAGAATTTATAATCTGTGATTGCATGCCTTGAACGCAGGAGCGAGCAAACAACTTCACGCGCACGTCATTTTGACGCAAGATAAAATTAATATAACAGTAAATTTTGTAACTGTAATACGTCTTTGATAATGGCTGCCGTATAGGTAGCCGAAACGTCAGAAACAATAAACAATTTTAATGTGGATGATCGTACAATAAATTTATAGTAATTGTATTGTTGTCTTAATGATACTTGCTAAATTTATTCGCAATTTCATCTGTATAATGGTACATTTTAACAGCGCAACGTGCTATTTCTTCATATTTAAACTAACCTCTTGTTCAGTACTTAATGCTTGCCAGTTTGATCCTTGATTTACATAAAGTTGTTTATCATCTTTACGATATGAGAGAAGACCTGGAACATCTGGAATCTTTTCAAAACTTTCCTTGTCAGATACTGTCAATGTCTGCGGTAGAATAAAGAAATATCCGATGAGATACTGTCAATGTCTAGAATTAAGTTCTTTATAACATCAAGCGAGTTAAGAAATATCCGATGCTTGTGCAGGGGTCGGGCGTATTGTCAGAGAAAAATGGTTTGGAGTTCAGAATAACTGCTGCCGGTAGTATAAATCTTTTCTTGAAATATTCCACTTACACCTTCGTTTAAAACTGATTTAAGTTTTCCTGAGCAGGAGCCCTGAAACAAACCAAACTGCTGATTAAATATAATTTGTAATTGTTGTTATTGCTGTTTTTATTGCTGCATGGTTTTGCCATTGCTGTGCATGTTGCCATTACTGATACAGCTGTTGTTGTCATTGTCGTCGTTGTTGGGGTTGTTGCCTTGGCATTGTTGCTGTTGCTGTTCTGTTGCTCTTGTTACTTTCTGGCTGTCATTGTCGGTTTCACTGGCGTTACTCTTTAACGTTGTTGTTGTTGTTGTTGTTGTTGTTGTTGTTGTTGTTGTTGTTGTTGTTGTTGTTGTTGTTGTTGTTGTTGTTGTTGTTGTTGTTGTACTGTGTCAGTTGCATTAATCAAAATAGTGTCATTTTAACTTTCAATAATATCCCCACCTTTTGTGCTGTGTCAGTTGCATTAATCAAAATAGTGTCATTTTAACTTTCAATAATATCCCCCACCTTTTGTGCGGTGCCTGTTTGTGGATCAATGAAATGTTTTTCAAGTTTTCCTGCGGAATTTTTCACCACAAACTCCATACATCTTTTCCACAGACGTTCAGCCATTCTGGTTCGCACCCAAAACCAAACGAAAGCGCTCTTCATTACAGTTCCACCGTTAATTGCTGTACATTTAGGACCACAGTAGTTTTGTCTTCCACCTTTGGGTCCAAAACATGCACAACACTACAAAATATGGAGGAATGCCAATTTTTTGTAGGTGGATATATTGCACATGGATTTAAAATTTAAGACTATAGACATTGATCTTGATCAACGTGATGTGAACGTTCTTTGAACATTGATATAGAACATTGATATACGTATCTTCAATACGTCATATAGGAAATAACTACCTTGCCATTATCACATCCAACAAAAGCGGTGGAATTATGATTCATTCCAGAGAATGAAGAAACAGCGCTGTAGCTGAAGAAAATTACAATTTCAGCCAATAAGAATTCACTAACGTCTATGCAAAATCAACGGTTAAAATGTTGTTCTGATTATGTATAGGTAATATTAAATTGGATCATCATTTCACATTTATGTGTATGTATTGACGACAATTAAAACTTTATGATCCAGTACCTGTATGATCCAAAGTTATCGTATCGAAATTTAATTGCATCTAACACTGCGTAACCGTTTTTGCACTGATGTCGAAGACAGTAATTCATTTTTCCCTAAAATGAGAATGAAATAATTATTTTTCACAAAGAAATTCTTCTAGAAGGCATAAAAGATTGAATGTCAACAAAATAGGATTTTTGTGAGAAACATGTCCGAAAAATTGCCCCCACTATATTTTGTGGTATTGCAACATTGGCGGCTTTCATACAAGTTTCAGATTTTCAGTACTAGATAAAAGAATTATTATAGCTATTGTTTTAATACGTTAATATTTGACTTATCAAAATAACCAACCGTTTAACTTTTACCAATATTTCAACTTATCCAAATTATAGAAATTAGGCAAAAAGTATTTATTGGTAGTTATTATTAAGTGTCTGTATTAATGAGATGTTTGTAAGCATAATTCCTGTCTACTCTTCAACTGATTGTTTGTGGTTTCTAACATTAAAGTTTCGTTTGATATAAAAATTAGTAACATGATACGGAAGATTAGGCCGAAAAATAAAAATGTCCTTAAATTGCTGCTTTGTAGAAGAAAAGTTGGATAATGTACAGTATTGAACTTGAAAGATTCAACTTTTGAAACTTTCAAATTATGAACGGCTGGTCGAAAATAATTTATTTGAAGTATTTAATTAATTGTTTTTGTTTGTGGAAACACCACGTAAATTTATTACTGCAAAGCTTTCGATCCGTAAGCCCGGATCTTCATCAGTGCTAATAATATGCATTAGCACTGATGAAGATCCGGGCTTACGGATCGAAAACTTTGCAGTAATAAATTTACGTGGTGTTTCCACAAACAAAAACAATTATATTTTATCGCCATGCAAACATTCAAAGAACTTAGTATTTAATTAATTGCATAAAACCTTCCCGATTATTTTACCTAATTTCCATATTTGGACAAGTTAGAGTACTGAAGGCAAACGGTGGGCAAACGATTGGTGATTTGATCAGGATTTTGGGTATCTCACTCCCGATAGAACTAATGTTGATGGAATTTCTAGTGGAATGTTTTATACATTGATTAGACCTAACCAGACGCAGTTGAAAAATTGAACTGTTGGCCCTCTGGCACGAAACGAATCTGCGCATGTGCAACTCTTTGTTGCTCGGAGAGTAGCAGAACGCTGGACCGCAATAGGGCAATTCCAGCTTTTAGTTTATGCCTGCAGGGGATGATGGGAAGTAAGGTATCATATTGCTGATTATGCTGAAAAATTTCAATAAAAACTACCAAAACAACCGAAATATTTCAATATTTACAAGTATAAGCTATCACTCCGTGTTTACACGGCCACCATTTTAATTTTTTCAGCATAATCAGCAATGTCACCAATGTGACACCTTACTTCCCATCGTCCCTTGCAGGGTCGATTCCTGATAGTTGCATTTTTCACAACTGCTCCTGGTTAGGTCTACTAAATGTATAAAAATTCCAGCATGAGCTCCACCTTTGAATTTACTATATGAGTAAATTCTTAAACACGTCCGAATTTATCAAAATGATAAATTCGCGGCAAATTTTGAATTTATCATAATACATTCGCGGCACCTAGCACTAACCCATAACCCCTAACTTTTTAAATTTTTTTAACTTTTTTAAAAATCTAACTTTTTAAACTTTTTCTTTAAAACTTTTTTAAAAACTACTTTTTTAAAAAACTTGAAACCCTGCCCGCGCCTGCACGACCAGCCTCCCTTTTAGTGCCATTACATTTATAACAAGAAATCTTGTGTAATGCTTGTGGTTTTATGATTAACTCTATTGATAAATTCAAAATGTGCCGCGAATTTATCATAATGATAAATTCGGACGTGTTTAAGAATTTACTCATATAGTAAATTCAAAGGTGGAGCTCATGTTGAAAAATTCCACTCAAAATTTCCGTCTACAAATCAAATAGATTGAAACAATATGATTGAATATGATAGTTATATCATCGATGAAAGAAATCTGAAACTTTTAATTTACTTAAGCGGATGTTGTAATACCACAAAATACAGTGGGAGCCATTCTTTTGGGACACCATGTATAATATTATTTTACTGAAAATCAGCTGCATACCCATCCCAACATATGGTGTACATGTTGTCCAAACTTTGAGCACTTGAAATTATTAGTAAGGACAGACTGCGTCGAGAGATCCTTGACAAATGAAATATTTCCAATTCCAGCTTGGAGATACGGACATCCGTTGTTCACAGAAAATAGATTTCCAAACTTCCGTTGCGGATTTAATCGGTAAAACCTACAGTAAGAAGAGGATTTTTTTACTTTTGCAATTTTCACAGCACTCGCGTTTTTCTCATACTTGCAGGACTTTCCATATACGAAGAGGAAACCACTCAAATTAAAAGGAAATGCATCTTGAAGAAACGTTTTGGAAAGCGCGTATTTTTCTTCTGTTTTGTGTTGAGGGGGCGTCCTCAATGCCCTTTGCAGATTCTATGCCAAGTATTGATGTTCATTTTCTTGGTTACGTTTCCTGTATTGTTTGATATTGTTTCCTGCAACTTTCTCACTTTTTGTCGTTTTATTGTTGTTATTACTCTTGAGGTTTATTTTAGTTCAGAAAGTTTTATGGAATTAGTTTTTCACCAGTCCGAACCAAAGCTTTCTTACCAGTCTGCCTTTGTTCCTTCAAAACCTTTATCAGTTGAAAATTGAACTCTAAAGTCCAGAACTTTGACATCACCAAGATCACTGGACCAATGTGGGGGTCCTTGAGGATCAACAGGGGTAGAATTAGACGGTACTGTCCAAGATACAGGACTATCCTTCATTCCCACCAACGCAAATCCACCACCATCTGTATGTACGTCACACCAAATCTATCCCAAATAATTTTTTGTTACATATGCGAACTTAAACGTAATAAGTGTGCTTGCTTGTCATAAATAATAAAGAAAATAGACTCGTATATTCACGCCAACGTGAAAGATTTTCACGCGCGAGCTTTCAAAATATTTCCAAGCTAGGTGACTAAAAGAGACAAATACCATACATTTTGGAGATTTGCTATACAATTTCGAGATTTAAACTAATTAAACAGTTGTAGCTCAGTTGGTTAGAGCGCTGCATTGGAATTGCTGGGCATGTTCGATTCCTGCCGGGGACCTATAGTTGAATTTTTTGAGTTGTTCCTGATTGGGTCTAATGAATGTATATAACATTTACACTCAATAATTTCCGTCTACAATACCCTTCAATAATTAATCACACCATTTACCTGGTATTATATTTACCGTTGTTAGCGAAGGTAAATTTTTGTTTTATTTATTAGGGCACAATTGTCCTTGCAAATAACTTTTCACTTCATATCCTCGTACTGCATTTTTACTTCACTAAAGTCACTCCCTCCCAAAACCTGGTTTGCTAGAAGGCCTGGTCGCATGGCGTGGAGAAGGCTTATTGGTGGACATGTCATAATCCAGACACATACCTTGTGCTTCGTTGATTTGGGCAGAACAAACCAGTAAAATCCATCCTCAGCTTCGGGTAATTGATCAACAATATCAGAACAATCTCGAGCTGGGTTGAATATCTCACCCAATGTCGGAGAACCTGTGATAAGATACTAAGGTTACAGATTCTGAATTTACTTACTTATTCTTCCAAAGAAATACTTGCTTTCATTAAAACTCGCAAATGTTTTTTTGTTACAACGTATGTACATAAAAAGGCCAAAGCGCTGTTTTAAAGTGACATACTGTAGGTTCTTTAACACAGGAAAGCAGAAAAGGTTAAAGGCAATAGACCTTTCCCCTTTTAAGTGAAATTTTGATCTAGACAAGTCTGGACAAAAATTTCATCACAGCTTGAAAGAGCATCACAAAATTAGTAATATTCCGAACTTTCGTTGCGAAATGTTGTAAAATGCGTATAATATAGCCTTGCGAAGTTTGCCGTTTTTCAGTCGTTTAGTATTACAAACGGGAAATTGATAATCAGTTTGATCATCTGATTATCAATTTCCCATTTGTAATACAAAATGACTGAAAAACGGCAAACTTCGCAAGGCTATATTACACGCATTTTATAACATTTTGCAACGAAACTTCGGAATATTACTAATTTTGTGATGCTCTTTCAAACTGTGATTAAATTGTTTGTCCAGACTTGTCTAGATCAAAATTTCACTTAAAAGGGGAAAGGTCTATTGTGTGAGTTGGGCGCATGGACAGCGGTAGGGTTTGCAGCTCACGCTAATTACCATACAACAGTTTGGATCATGCTAAACGTTTGTTTCTTTACCGTCAATAAATTTCCATTGAGGAACGCCTTTAGTTTTTTCTGTACAAATCAGCAATTTCACTCGCCCAGTTCTGTCTGTGTGGTTAAGGTGTTGACCAATGTTGCATTTGGAAAACTTCTGAAATATTTATAGTCATGCAAAAGAAAATTTTATTACTCCGTATATAGATGTAATATTTTGCACTATAGGACGGCAGTCCTAATAACAGGTGGCTTTCATCATGGTACAGTTCAGTGCACATGGAGGGCATTTACACAAAGAATCTCATTAGAATCTCATTAGAATCTCATTACTAGTCCTCCCTCTGCGTTTGTGTTGAAATCGCGTGGGATTGCTCGAAAAGCAACTATATTTATCGTATTGCTGAAGGAAGTCAATGATTTGAGCATGGATAATAAAATAAATGGATAGGACTCTCGCTGACGTAAGCAAAACAACCTAGTTGCAATCTGTGACGTCACGCGTATTGCAAAGTTGTCTGCACTTTTGTTGTTTCGCTATATTTTCCGCCTTAAAAGAGCAATATTGAAGCATAAACCGGTCTAATTGTTTTAAAAACATGCCTAAGCCACGACAAAGTATTCAAGGTAAATGTTTTTCGTCTTTGTTTTGTATTTTTTTTTACATTTGTAGCTACGAAATTGGCATCCCCGATTTTAACGAAATTTGGGATGCCTTTTTCACTGTTTAGTGCTTGAAATATTTGCTAAAATTGACTGGGAATACTTAGAGATTTCATCGTAGAATGGCGTAGTTATATTCATTTGTTCTTTGACTAAAATGTTTAGCTGTATTATTGCTAAACATGCCGTTTTTGAGAATTTGGTTTGCAACTAGGTTTCAACACAGAATAGATACCGGACCAGAAGTGTCACTCCTATGTGTTTTGGCTGAAGGAAAACGTCCGAAATTTTTTTGCGTGCTATGACGCCATCCTGGAGTGCACCCGGCACTTTGTACCTATGTTTTCCTATGAAAAACTTCCGTGTGCACTCCAGGATGGCGTCATATGATGGCGTATTTTCACGTCAGCACTCATAAAATTTCGGACAAAATATCGTCTGAGTGACACTTCTGGTCCTGTATCTATTCTGTGGTTTCAACATCCAATCACGCCATCAGCCCATTGAAAACATTGGGTCACGTCAGCTAGTTTCCTATCCATTTATTTTATTATCCATGATTTGAGTAAACACACTCAACAGGTGTCATATTTCATTGTACTAGTCCAAACGAAGATCAAGATCCTTATGGTCAGTCAAGGCTATCTTTAAACATAGTTAATGGAAAATGAGATGGTTTTAATATCTTTTTCATGCATCCCCAACACCGCTTGCTTCCTTCGCCTTCCTTGGAAAATTGCTGACCTCTATACTGGATGTAAAAACAAAAGCGGCATTATGTTTTTGGCATCAATCCTATATTGTCATTGATATGAATTACAGATTTCTAGTAGGCATCGCACGTCAGAATCGACAATGGAATTACAAGATTATATGAAACATGTGTATAACTATATATTAACTTCATAATATAGTGACAGTCTCAAAAGACTATTTGAGCATTTATGCTTTCTTGGTTATTGTGCTCATTTCTGCGTTCTCTCTTATTTCAATTGCACCTGTATATTAATCTTTTTCAAAATTTCTTTTGTCTCATATATTATACATGCATGACTATACACCATACCGGGTGTCCCAAAAAAACTTGCGGTGTTTGATTTTATGTAAGGTAAAAACTATAAAAGCTATTATGCTCATTGACAGTTTTCGTTCTTAGTTGACCATATGAGAAGAAATGATAATAGAACCATATAATATCGTATCCGTATATAACTATAACTATAACAGTATAAGCAATTGAAAAATGTGATCATAACATATGGGGAACAAACATGTTTCCGCAATTGTAAAGAAAGCATCTGAGCGACTCTATTTTTTAACTCAGTTAGGACACTCTAAAGTAGGTATTAAAGGACTAGTCCAATTTTTTAAATGGTGTATTTAACAAATTGATAAGGTTTTTCTGTTGTCTGTTCAGTTATAGATACACAATATGACATCATAATGTCTGAAGAACAAAAAAGTGGCTGGCGACCGCCATATAAGAAAAGAAAACCCCTGAATTAAACAGGTAAATAGTTTACTTTTTATGCACCCAAACATTTTGAAATTTGGATCATGCGTACATGATCTATACAAATAAGGGAATGCTATTGAATAAGGTTTTGTGTGACGTAATTCCGCGCGTCTCTCCTCTAATAGATCATGGCTCTCGACCAATAAAAGCGCTTGAATTCTTAACGTTATTGTATAATAGATCCTTAATTGACGGAGTTTGATTATCTAGTTTTTCATGACAATCTACCACCTCATCTACGTCTCCTACCCTGTCATGACAATCATTCCTCCCCCGTGCCCGCCAGAATCCTGCCCGTTGCAAATCAGGCCCCATAAAACTGAGGGCCTGCCACGCAGGCTACCTCATCTACGTCTCTTAAACGACCTTGAGGGAAAGCATAATTTAAAAATGAAAATTAAAGCCCAGCATATTGTCTGAAAGTCATTTGCTGGGCTTTAATTTTCATTTTTAAATTAGACCTTGAGGGAATTAAAAAATATACGTATACTAATATACCTTCAGCATCGTACCAAGAGGCATTAGCGACTGCAAATTACCAAACTTTTCCAACAAATTTTGAACAACGAGACTCATAAATTTCATAAATTACTTTTAAAAATTTAAGGAATAAAGCGTAAATTTACAATACCTCCAGTTATGACAGACCGTTTTAACAGTTTTATTATTAGTAACTTTATAAAAGTGTATCTTTTATTAGAACTGATGTACGTATGTGTACATGCATAACAAATACATGTGCATTTAACTTTTATAATTTAACCAATATCTGAAAGGGTTATTGTGAATACACTATCTATCAAAGAAATAAGATATATCTACTATAGAGAAATACGGTACCATACAATTCACAATCATAATATATTAATATACGGTATAAGAGATTCTGTTAGCATTAAATTTTTGAAAACATAAGAAACGTTAATAACAAATATGTCACCTTCTGCACTTTTTTATCAACTACCTTGTCATTTTGCGATAAACCAAAAGCCAAACTCAGCCATGTTGACAAAATCAGGATTTTCAACTGAATTTTCGCAGACATCATTTTGAAAATTTTGTCTCCAAGCAAGTTCTGTCTTCTTCCTTCAGCTCCTTGAGACGTAATGAATACATGTACCTATTGTAATCAGTTTTAGTGTGCACGCCTCTTGATAACCGGTCAAAAACCTATCTGACAAAAGGCCCCAGCGACCTTCATTAAATACCAGCGTCTTGTATTTACAATGCAGATGTGCAGCGTATGTGATCCAGTTGGGTGTTATTGATCAGATTCCTTGAACAAGTCAGCCTAAAAGTAAGATTATATTTGGTATAAGGTAATTTCTATAGAGGATTAATTTACTATATCTTTTTGCTCAAAAACAATTGGAGTGCATACATTGTCCAATCAGAATTGAGTGCTTTTATATCAAATGCTCTACCGCCATTTATCAATTTACTGAAATTAGTTCCGAATCATATTTACAGAATATGATTTTTTCTATTCTTTAATCGACTTTTACGAGATGCATATCGAATTTCTTAACTTTGTAATTACTAAATTGGAAAATGGTCAAAAGAGTGGACATAGTCTTTCAAGATATGATTGTCTGGAAAACCGAGCTGAAGGCATTGTGCTGTGTTGTTGTCTGAGTTTATGTTAATTTGTGCACGGTCATGGTGATTGAGCTCATTGTATTTTCGTATAATTAAGTAACCGTCCAATAGGGATGGCACGTGCAATCACGATAAAAATATTCAATGTAGTTGAGACAAAGTTAAAGGATTTGTGCACGGTGAGATACAGTTCAACATCGAACAAAGTTGTGGCTTTAAAGTTTACCGGGCTTCTAGACCATCATATCTTGACAGACTATAGAGTGGAATATGAAATAGCACGCCTTCTTTGTAGTTTGATGTTTGATGAATTTCAAATAAATTAATCCTTCAAAACACAGTTAATAGAACTGTGTTCAAAATCAGCTCCGTGAACAGTGGATTTATATATTGCGACATTATCCACGCAACCTACATGGTTTAAATTCTGAAAGTTGGTATTTCAATAAATCCTCCGTGACAACGTTATATGATTGATTATTGAAGATTTACTTTGGCAATTCGAAAAAATCATGAGAATCCGCTTTCGAAATATAACGGTTTTTCAACATACAAACCTCAAGGTCATATTAATTTTGTAACGTGGTGTAAACGTGAATTTCCAGAGAACTTGATCATCGAGGTACACACGTAAAAACGCACGAGTTGTAACAAACCTGAAGAAGACTGGTAGCGATGCTGTTCCATCAATTTGTCAACAAGATGTGTTCGCACTGCTTATTCCCAGCTTGCTGACAAGCTAACGACTTCTTGACAGCTTGCTACAAGGCTATTGAGCTCAACAGACTTGT